CCTTAACTCTTCCCCCCCCGCGCCCAGGCACAGCGCAGCAGCCGGATTCAAGAGCTCGATGGATCTTTCGGGCGCGCAGGCGCCAGCGAGCAGCGTCAGGCGCCCTCCGCCTCCCCCTCCCGACCCCCCCGCGCCGTCCTGCCCATCGCGTAGAACTCCCGGTTGGGGCGCAGGCCGACGAAGTGGGCGATGCGGTTCGACATAGCAAAGAACGCCGAGATCATGCCGATGTCCCAGGCGTCCTCGCGGTCGAAGCCGTGCCTCTCCAGCTTCCGGAAGTGCTCCTCGGTGATGTCGTCAGCTCGACACACCGCAAGAGCGAACTCCAGCATCGCCAGGTCCCTGTCGCTCAGGTCCGCTAGCTTCCAGTTGACGATCACCTGTAGGGCGGCACAAACCAGCGGAGGGTCAGCCGCAGCCCGCACGGCTGACCGCCTCCTCTGCACAAAACACCCACCCGGCCACTCCACATCCTCCCCATCCCGGGCACCGTGGCGGGTTTACCGAGCTCTGGGGGAGCTCTTGAAACAGGACCCGACACCCGCAGGGTGCTGCTGCTCCCCGCCGCGAGTTCCTCCGCAGACCAGATTAACACAGCAAAGAACGTGGGCAGCAGGATGAATGTTCTGTAGAACCGTCCCGTCCCGCACCTTGCTGGAAAAGGGGATGAGGGCGTGCAGATCCCCACCTCGAAGCTCTACCCCCGCTGGCCAGTGCTCCGGCAGCTCGCCAAAAGACCTGCTAAGCCAGGAACTCGGTGAGGGCCCTGGACACGTCAGGATTGCTGGGAACCACACAGATTTAAGATAAAACTTCAGGTGGAAAAGCAAAAGGGCCGTTCCCACCTCCCAAAGGACTGTGCGAAGGAGGCGAGGCACACGCTGCTGTAGTCCCACTGACCTGGTCAGCCAGCGCTGGCTGCTTGGAATATATCCGGTGAAGTGCTCCGTGTGCGACCACACAGTAGGGACACCTGTTCACAGCACTCGTAGCCACAATTATGAGCTCTTTGTCTGCCTTGCTGAGACGCCCTACAGGGACAGCAAAAGATTTGGCACGCTTTGCTATCAAAAATATCCAGCATAGCACTATCGCTGGGGAAACAGGGAGGGGAGGGCTCAGGGTACAGGCGGCCAGCAGCACAGCCCAGGAGACAGGGCTCCAGAGAACGCTCATAGAGACACCACGACCAGACCTCCTGGGTGACACGACAAGGGGCAGTAGTTTGAAACTGAAGGATGGCAGGTTTACATCAGATGTAAGGAGAAAATGTTTTATGGCGAGGGTGGTGAGACACTGGGACAGGCTGTCCAAAGAAACAAAAGGAAGTCCAGGGATAGTCTCCATCCCCTGCTAGATGCAGGAGGAAATACGGTAACAAGTGATGAGGAGAAGGCTGAGGTGCTTAATGCCTTCTTTGCCTCAGTCTTTAATAACAGGACTAGTTGTACTGAGGGAATCCAGCCTCCTCAGCCAGAAGAGACTGGGAGAACGACCCCCCTGCAATCCAGGAGACAGTCAGTGCCCTACTGCATCACACAGACACACACCAGTCTGTGGGACTGGATGGGATACACCCGAGGGTGCTGAAGGAGCTGGGTAGGTGCTCACCAGGCCACTTTCTATCATTTTCCAGCAGTCCTGGCTGACTGGGGAGGTCCTGACAGATTGGAAATTGGCCAATGTGATGCCCATCTATAAGAAGGGTCAGAAGGAGGATATGGGAAATTACAGGCCTGTCAGCTTGACTTCAGTGCCCAGGAAGCTGATGGAGCAGCTCATCCTGAGTACCATCACAAAACCCATGTGGGACAACCAGATGCTCAGGCCCAGTCAGCATAGGTTTATGAAAGTCAAGTCCTGCCTGACAAACCTGATCTCCTTCTACAACAGGGTGACCTGCTTATTGGATGAGGGAAAGGCTGCGGATGTAATTTACCCTGACTTTAGCAAGGCTTTTGACACCGTTTCCCCACAGCATTCTCCTGGCAAAAATGGCTGCTCGAGGTTTGGATAATCGCACACTTTGCTGGTTAAAAAACTGGCTGGACGACCGGGCCCAGAGAGTTGTGGTAAACAGAGTTAAATCCAGTTGGTGACGGGTCACGAGTGCTGTCCCCCAGGGCTGGGTGTTGGGGCCACTCTTGTTTATGTTTAACATCTTTATTGATGATCCAGACGAGGGGATCGAGGGCACACTCAGTCAGTTTGCAGATGACACCCAGCTGGGTGGGAGTGTTGGTCTGCTTGAGGGTGGGGAGGTTCTGCGGAGAGACCTGGACAGGCTGAGGCCAACTGGGGGAATTTCACTGAGAGTGAATGCTAGGTGCTGCCCTTGGGCCACAACAACCCCCAGCAGGGCTACAGGCCTGGGGAGGAGTGGCTGGAGAGCTGCCAGTCAGAAAGGGACATGGGGGTGTTGATTGACAGCCGGCTGAATATGAACCGGCAGTGTGCCCAGGTGGCCAAGAAGGCCAATGGCATCCTGGCTTGTGTCAGCAATAGCGTGGCCAACAGGGACAGGGAAGGGATCTTGCCCCTGTACTTGGTGCTGGTGAGGCCGCACCTTGATTACTGTGTTCAGTTTTGGGCCCCTCACTACAAAAAGGACTCAGAGTTACTTGAACATGTCCAGAGAAGGGCCACAAAGCTGGTGCAGGGTCTGGAACACATGTCCTATGAGGAACCGCTGAGGGAACTGGGATTGTTTAGTCTGGAGAAGAGGAGGCTGAGGGGAGATCTTATCACCCTCTACAACTACCTGAAAGGAAGCTGCAGAGAGCTGGGTTTGAGCCTCTTTATCCTAGTAGAAAGCGACAGGACAAGAGGGAATGGCCTCCAGTTGCGCCAGGGAAAGTTCAGACCAGATATTAGGAAGTATTTCTTTACAGAACGGGTTGTTAGGCATTGGAATGGGCTGCCCAGGGAGGTGGTGGAGTCCTCATCCCTGGAGGTGTTCAAGAATAGGGTCGATTTAGAGCTTAAGGATATGCTATAGGTGGGAACTGTGCTAAGTGAATGGTTGGACTAGATGATCTCCAGGGTCCTTTCCAACCTAGATGATTCTGTGATTCTGTGACTACCAGACAGACAAACTGTAACTTCTACAGGGTGTCTGTCCCTGTGACTGCTCTAAAGCAGCTGTGGAAAAGGCAGCCGTGCTTTGCTATACTCAGAATCAATCCTCTTCATGTTCACAAACAGCTTCACAACAGGGCTGTGCACAGGATCTGAGGAACTTACCTGGCTGTGTATCAGCACTCATACTCTTTGCCATTTTTAAGATAATTAGCAGCAGCGTTTTTTCAAAACTACACTTCACATGGAAGGTCAGGGCCCCTCTTCCTCCTCCTCCCAAAAGCTACTGCTTTACTGATTCTGAAAATATTTTCTTAAACCCAGTGTCTTCTAAGAGCATTAAAGACACTACTAAAACCTTCTGGGCAAAGAGGAGTCAGGGGGAAAGGCCTTCTCACCCTTGTTCAGCACCAGAAGGCAGCAACACCATGATACTGCAGCAGAGATGCTGAAGAGTGTGGGATGCAAAACAGCCCTACTTGTCAAGTCAAACAAAAAGGAAGCATGTAAATGAGAAGGGAAAACCAGACCCTGGTACAGCTAGTGGCAAGGCTTCACACCAGCAGCACAAGCAGAAAGCTTCACAGAGACTGCATGTGAGAAATGCATAAGGCCGCACTCCTCACTGCCCCCACAACTGCTGGAACACCCCTCCTGAGCCCTCATCTCCCATGAGCAGGAGGAGCAGTCTAGACACACCAGCTTCTTTTAAAAAAACCTGGGGTTTTCTAATGTTCCTTCAGAGCAAAAGCAATGAAAATGGGCCCCTCAGTGCCCTGTACGACAGAGAGCTGGAGGGAGGGAGGAGTAGGCAGTCCTCAAAGTGTGTTTCCTTGAAGGCGCCATGCAGAGTTCCACAAGGCCCAGCCCAGCAGCCTGGCTGCAGCCAGCCCTGGCCTCCCCGCCAGGCACCCAGAGGCACCCCAGGGCACAGCCAGCACCTCACTGCCCTGCCTGCTGCTGCCTGCTGCAGATGCCCCGTGTTCTGAGTCCCCACTGTGGGTGCCAGGGGCTCAGCCTCTCTCACACAGGTTCTGCATGCTGCTGGTGGGCCAAGAGCTGTTGTGAAGGAAGAGCTGCAGGGGGCTCAGCCCCACCCCAGGAGCCGTTCTGTGCTGGGCCCGGGGCTGCGAGCCCGGGGCTGCGAGCCCACGCAGCAGCTGTGGTGCCTGCCTGCGTAACACTGCTGGTCTGGAACCTGACTGACGCCCAGGCCAACTTTCCTGCTTGGTCTCAGCTCTGCCTCATCCCCACGGACTTGCCTGGGAAATCAGAACTGCTGGCTGGCCCTGCTGACTACTGCCAGACCTGCCCTGCTGCCCCTGCCCTGCCAGCACACTCAGCTCCCAGCTCACCCTCCCTTAGGCACCAGACTGTCCTTTCTCCGCTGCGACACAGAGCACAGTGCAGCGAGGCAGCAGAGCTTGGATTGAGAGGTACTTTTAACCACTGGCTAAAGAGTATGAAGCTGTACGCAGTACAGGCAGAAGCAGCTGGGCAGTTCCAGCTGCTGCCAGATGTTACTGGGGCAGGAAGGAGGCACAGCGAGCAATACATCTGAGGATGTCGGAAATGTCGCATCTAGAGCAGGAAGGGCAATTCTGAGGTTGTTTATGGTTTACCTGTATCTTTGTTCATAATGGCATTGTAATAAGCAAAGAAAGCTCTGAATTCAGCGGGTCGGTGAGACATGGCTTTGAACACATTGGGCAGAAATCCAGTCTGTTCAAGGGAAAAGAAAACAAAGTCAGGAATTGTAACAACACAGAGCACAGGGGGCAACATTCATGCACTAGGCTGAGGGAACAGTTTGTTAGTGCAGCAGTGCTGAGGCATCTCTGGAGACGCATTCTCCTGCCCTTGGAGCCCATTTATACATATGACTGAATACCTAACAATGTGGTTCTTAACTAGGTGTTGCTGCAGTTTCATCACGTGACTATTTGCCATGTTCACTTCAGCCACAGCGGTAATGACCACACACCATCAGTGTGTTACCAGCATCCTTCTCATGCCAAGTCCCATGATGAATCCAAAACACAGTCCTGTTTATCAGCTCAGTCCCAGCCGACACCAGGACACAGGCCTGGCCGAGGCTGTCTGCGGTGCCGGCACATGGTGGATGCACAGACTGGCTCTGCTCTCCCTGCCCTGCTCCCACACCCACAGATGCCCAGCCACCCTGGCAGTGTCGAGGCTCCTTCCCTGGAGCACTGCTCGCTGCCTCTCACGTGGAGGCTCAGCACACCTGCGCCCGGCTCCCCGCGGTTGGTATTTCTCAGCAGGGCTTCATCTGTGGCGCACAGCTGCCCATGGCAGCTCTGACCAGGCTGGGCTCTGGGTGATGTGGGAACCACCCGCAGGCCCCATCACCTTGCCGGCTACTGTTCCTCGGGGTGTTTATGGGAAAGGAAAGCAGCCCAGGTGTCACAGACCCCTCTGGCAACCTCCCTCCACTGACACATACCTGCCTGAGCCTTCCTTCTGTCTCACCCATCTGTTTACTGCTCCTTAAGCAAGAGGATGCTCTTTCCTCTTCATCCACAACCCCTCAGATGACTTAGGAACCTCTGGCAATGCCAGCAGTGCTGTTTGGGTATCAGGTCTGCTCGGCTGATTGGATCGGATACATCAATCTTTGCTGACCCCTTCAGTGCACTGAGACACAGGGTGTGCACCACAGCATCAGAAACCTGAGTGGACTCTTCCTCTGTACATCATATTTACCATCAAGTCTCCTGACTCATTCTGTTACACAAATTTCACTGGGGCTGCTGCACGGTAGCAGAGTGTAGATTCAACCCCGGGGCAGGAAGGACAGGGAGGCTGGACCAGCACTCCCCTGAGAGGAAGGTCTTGGAGGAGAGAAGTTTCCACAGAGCTGTGGCTGCTGGAGTATTCTGGCCACCAGGAAGGGCTATGTGGCATTCCTTCTCCACAACAGAGGGAAGAAAACTCTTGCCCAAACCCCTCTTTCTCCCCTTACACCTAGTTCTTCATTAGGCTTTACTGTTCTGCCACTGCATAGCCCATTTTGGCTTTGGAGAGCAAAAAACAAAGCTCAAAAGCAGAAATACTCCCGAAGCCTTTTAATACTGTCATCAGAACAGCTCCTCCTTTGTTTTTTCTCCATTAAACATGTTAAAAATACTCATAATAGTGCCTCAAGTGAACACAGATGCTCTCCTAGAAAAACAAGTACATGTCACTATTCCAGCTAATCCATGCATGAGACGCCACCTGAAAGGACCCACCAGTCTCACGGAACCAGGCAGATATACAATCCCATCAGCACGCTACAGGATTTCCAGTAAAATCCCCATCCTGCAGACTGGAAGGAGCTTTGCAAGAAGTGCTGCTCCCTCAGTCTCCAATCAGGTCTGTGTTAGACCTAATGGACCAGAGCCACTCTCTCAGGGTGTACAACCTGCTCAGACTTTAGACCCTTTCCACCAGCAGAATGTTGCAGCAGAGTTCCTTTACCTTCACTTCCACTTCCTCCATGAGCTCCACGATGTCGTACGGCATGTCCTTCTTGTTGGGTACCGGGTATCGCCCAACAGGCCCTGCTCCGCTCCCTTCTCTGGTGTTGTACGCCCCCCGGGGCCACCTCCGGAGTCCGCCTGAGGCCAGTAGAGGCAGGAGCTGGGGAGAGAGGAGGGAGGGAAGTTTGTAATTTGGAAGGACAGGGCAGCCTGGGGAGGGAGAACTTTTCCTCAGCTACTCCTGCCTTTCTGACAGGACTTGGGGGCATGTCTGTTGCTGGAAGCCACTCTCCGTTAGTGGGACAGTTGGTGCTATGGGAAAAGAAACCCAAGTCCCATTCTGCCCTGGGTTTGTGTGTGTGGTGGGTTTTTGGTAGCTGGGAAGGCGCTACAGTGGTGGCCCATGTGAGAAGCTTCTGGAAGCTCCCCCGGCTCCAAGTTGGAGCCACCTCTGGGCGAAGCTGAGCTGATGGGCGGCAGCGGCCGCGCCTCTGGGATAACGTATTTCAGATGGGAACCTGGGAGGAGGAGCGGGAGCTGTGAGGGAGACGCCTCTGCAAACCCCGAGGGCAGTGGGAGAAGCGGGGGGGAGCTGTGCCAGAGCAGAGCCCCCCCAGCCCGTGGGGCAAAGGCAGGCTGTCCCTGCGCCCATGGAGGGCACTGGGGGAGCAGATGTCCTCCTGCAGCCCGGGGAGGGTGGGGGAGGGCCCACCCACCCTGGAGCAGGCGTCAGTGGCTGGAGAAGGCCAGGACCCTGTGGGAGGAAGCCCCCACTGTTGTGGTTCAGCTCTGGGGTGACCCACACTGCAGCAGTTCAGGAAGAGCTGCAGCCCATGGGATGAACTCATGTTGGAAAGAATTTGTGGAGGAGTCTCCTGTGAGCAGGGGACTGCACTGGAACAGGGGAGGAATGACACGAGTTCCCCCCACCACAAGGAGGAAGGAGCGGTGGGACTGACCACAACCCCCATCTCCTGCCCATCGGCGGAGATGGAGGGAGAGAAATGGGGAGCAGACCTGAGCCGAGGAGGAGGGGAGGGGTGGGGGAAGGTGTTTTCAAGACCTGGTAACGCTTCTCCCTGTCCTGCTCTGTCTGTCAAGCGTTGTTGTTAGTGTTCAAATTAAATTGATTTCTTTTTCTTCCCCTAACAAGTCTGTCTGTTGCCTGTGACCATAATGGGTGAGCCATCCCTCTCTGTCCTTATCTCGATTCCTGAACCTTTTATTTTATTTTCTCCTTCCCAGTGCTGAGTGGGGAGTGGAGAGTGAACGGCTGCTTGGTGCTCAGTTGCCCGCTGAGCTTAAACCAATCTCTGGCTGCAGCCCTAAACTGTTGTGTGGGGACCTGGCAAGCATCACCTCCTCTTCTCCCTGTCCTCTGCACCAACCATCTCAGCAGCAGCCACAGCTCTGCTCCTCTCAGTCCTCACCAGCCACGGATCACCTCATCTGCACCAATGCTGAATTGCGGCATTGCCCGAGTTTAAAAGGTGTTTCCACCCATCTGCACTCAACAACATCACACAGACATCCACCCGTGCACTAACAGATGTCCTTCAACAAAGGAGCACAAATTATAAATTGAAGGCCTTTTTTTAATGCCAGTCAGCCTTCCTCCCGGCAAAGCCACCTTCCCTCCTGCAGAAGTCAGTAGCACCACAATCAGGCCTCCCAGAGCATTGTTATGTTGGGACCACTGGGGGTTTGGTACTGAAAAGGCTGCATCCCCCTTTGCAATGCTCCGTTATTGTAAGAAGTTGTGGTCTTGCAGCATCCATAATACAGGCCTCATTAGCTCTTGAGCTGGGTCTTGAAGGGCTTTTCAAAAGCAGCTGCACCTCACAGACGGGCAGGAGGGTGGTGGGGCAGCGGGTGCAGGGGTGGCAGCAGAGCTGGGGTGTCTGGTGCCCGGCTTGCAGGGCACCTCGAGCACCTTCCTGGCTCCCCAGCATGTGCCACATCAGGTCTGGGAGCTTCCAGGAACAGCCAATGACCCCCAGTCGCCCCATCACTGCACGGCATCCCCCATGAACCATGAGCACTAAACCTGTCGGATCACACATTCTCTGAGGGTTTCTGCTTGACATATACTCGATTTCTGGCCTGAAACGCCAACACACTGCTGCAGCATCAACGAGTAACAACAGTAATGGCAGCAGAGGCACCTAAACTGGCTGCTGAAAGGAAGGCGCAGAATCTGTACATGCTGTACCAAAATGTATCCAGGTACCACCTACGAAAACTGTGAGAAAAACTCTAAAGCAAGTACAGGCAGGAATGCTATCTCAGAAACCAAACTTCTCAGCATGAAGTGCAAAAATACATGGTGCAGCAAGTGGCTTAGGGGCCGCTGAAAGCAAGGATGGCCACGGGGCAATGGTCAACGGGCACCAGTTCAACACAGGAGGAGGCTCAGTGGGTCCCTCGGATGGGGGAGCTATTTTGCCAGTTACCAGGCCTAGCATAAAGGACACAGCCAGCATAAAGATGAACCAATAATCAGACTGTATTTGATACAAAAAGGTCAGTACATGGGTGAGCGCTGGGGGTACAAACAAGTCAGATTATACATAACTGACATCAATCCCACTGACCCCAACAACGACACTGCACAACCAGCAATGGGTGGAATAAATGGTGAAATGCAGTTTCCTATAGAAGGGGAGACAACCGAGTCAACAACCCAAACACATAAGACCAAGGAAGCCACATACTGAATCTCTCCACAGCCCGCGTTTACAAAAGCCAGACCTGCCTGGAGCCCAGTCCCAGGGAGGCGGGAGGTCCTTCCCCAGCAGGGAACTCTGCACAGGGCATCCCCCTCACAGACAGACACTGCCCCTCCTGCAAGGGGTCCCAGCTGTTATCCCTGCGTGGGACCCCTGACCTTGGGTTACTGACTGCGGGACCCCTGGGGCTCCTTTACCCAACGGCTCTGTCTGCCAGGCCGCCCCACCCTGGGGGGAGCCTAAAGGGAAACTCACCCCGCTTTGGGAAGGGCTGGGGGAATCACCCAGATGTCAGCCTTAATTTGGGGCTGGGGGTTGAAGCCCCAGCGTTTCAGGGGGCTCAGGGCGAGCAGCACGGGGCAGCAGCTCCACGGAGGGACCAAGGGCCGCGCCCCCCACTGACAACGGCGCGGGACGCCCGAGGGCGACGGAGACACCGTCAAGGGGCAGCAGCCGGCGGCTTCCGTGAGACCCGGCGGCGCTGTGGAGGCTCCCCCCCTCGCCCGCGGAGAG